GTTTGGAGAAAGAGATGTTAACATTTTAGTATATTTATTTCAAATACTTTTAGTGAAAAACAGAATTTCAATGCATAGATGATATATGAGCCCTACAAAATTCACAAGATATATAAGAAACTAGTTATTGTACTTGCTATAATTCATGTAGCCTGAATTACATTACAGTTATTGAAGTAAAGCAGAATATATTTCTACAGGAACAGGATTAATTAATGCATTCTTTATTTGTATCCCTCAAAGTAGAGCTAGACTTTACTATTTGTAATTTCTGCTTAGAAACTAGGTTTTGGTTATTTTAGGAGCAACAGTATCTTTCCGATGCTCCATTAGTGTCTATAAATTGGATTTCATTAGCTATCTAAATACTTTTTCTTCCAAATCCATGATGTGAATCACAATTATAGTTTTTCCAGAATAAAAATAAATAATAAAGATGATTGTATATTTAATAATATGCAAGGGAGATAAGATCTGTTCTAAAATGAGGCAAACTTGTAGTTTCCAACCAGTGCCGAGTGTTAACAGAAGACAGAGGCCTCTGCAGCAGAAAATCCCTGTGGGCACAAATGGCAATGCTGGCCAGCGGTGCCATGGCTATTCTATTTCACTGCTGTGTGGGTTGGCAGTAGGCACTCTTGAAGTGTTTCCATCTTACTTGGGGTTTCCCTTTAGAGTTAAGCTGTTCTCCTTTCATAGAGATGACCAAAGAAAACATTTTGGTGACCAAGAAATGGGTTTCTTACCTAATTTCTTACTTAATCAACTCAGCTTGTTTTTTTCCCCAGTTGCTTTACATAACCTTTCATGCCTGCTTGCCTATCAAGCACGTGTCAAGGCAAGTAGGAAAATGCTGGATGCCATTTGTCCAACATGGAGATCCTGCTACAGGCATGTGGCCCTCTGAGACAGGATAGTTCTCTTAACTCACTACTACATTGCGCCTCGGGGAACCTAACTGCAGGATAAACTTGGTTGGATTCACAAAAGGAATGACAGATACCCTTAGTACATCCGTTGGCAAGAGTCTGGACCTTATTTGCCTATTTAAGGTGCCAGGGTTTAAACAAGGCTATGAAGCAACTGGCTATATTCCAGCTCTCTGAGTTTCAAACAATTACTTATTGACAGAGGGGCTATAAAGTGGGGCTTTACAATTTAGAAAAGAGAGGATAATGAGAGCAGGCTACTTCAGGTCCACACAGGTTTGGTGTGGGGAAGATTGAAAACTATTTCCCATCATCTCTCATGGCAGATCAAAAAATAAAAAGCTTTAGTGGTTCAGAGGAATTTAATAGAAGCTATTATTGAAGGTCATTGGAAGACCTCGGGCTCTTATGGAAGAAATGCTGTTCTCAAGACTTGGCCCAGCAACAGGGAGAACAGAAGTAAAATTGTTCCACTCTCATCCTTTTCTATTGACATAGCTGGAAATGACAAATGCAATACTTATCACTAGCATATTTCAATAACAAATGAAAATGTTTAAAAGTAAGAATGTTATAAAGCAAAGGGACTAGTTTTTACTTATTAATTTTTAAACTGATCTCATCATACACACATTACACATATGGGGTGTGGTTAGAAATAGAATTGGTCTTCTGGAAGACATGCAGGAAACATATACTGAACACATTACAAAGCTCATTCTTTATGAACATGGACAGAAAGTATGACACATGGCACGCAACAGAAAGCTGAGTAGTCTAACATTGCCAAAAGGTAGTGTTGTGAACATAGCATGCTCATATAAACTAGTTAAAGTCAGTTACGCCAAAATGCTTATGAAATATACTCAACAGCTTAACAGAATTCTCGTGGATATAAGTCAACTTCCAGATTCACCATTAAACAATTTTAAATTTCTTGTGATGGTCTCATCTCCCAAATCAGAAAGTAAGTTATTTAGAAGTTCCCCTGCCTAAAAAATTGACATAGGACAAAAAGTTAAGAAATGTTAAGATTAACAGGAAGGGTATATCATCATGCAAAATACCACAAGCTTGATCTGCTTGTCAAGTAGTCACAAAATTGTAAAATTTCAAAATTTCAAATTCTGACATCTACCTTCTTCATTGGAGAGTTTATAAACTTATAAACTCATAGTGTTATTTTTAAATGTTCTTTTCCTGATCATCATAATTTCAAAATAATGATTAGTTGGTCCAAATTGTAAATATTACACACTTTGCAGGAATATATTCAATTCAGTGTTTATGTATGTTAAAATCTAGATGATATTCTGCTCACTCTCTAATATGTTTTGGGAGGTCAATATCATGTGAGATATGACTTCAGAGTTGAAGATACGTGCATCTGTTCACAATGGGCTTATTGTGCCTAGTGACCTATTAAAGATTTATCAATATTATCTCAACATTTTATAAAGTGGTTATATTTCTAATCCAGATTAATTCTTTGGACTTTGGTTTTCTTTTTTAAAGAATTTGTTTTTAATTACATATATGCATGTGTCTGTGTGTGGGTGTGTGCACATAAGTGCAGGTCTCCTCAGAGGCCAGAAGAGGGCATCAGATCCCTTGATGCTGGAGTTATAGGAGATTATAAGCTGCCTGACATGGGTGGTAGGAAGTGAACTTGCATTTTCTGCATGAGCAGTGCACATTTCACTGCTGGGATGTCTTTCTAGCCACTGCATTTTGGTTTCCATTAAAATATATGTGCAAAATAAACCCCAATATTCAAAATAAGAAAATTAGACTGAATTGCAAAGAATTTACCCTGAGATGTAGATGATATATAAATGTGTATATACACAAACACACATATGAATTTATAAACATACGTATTCACATTTTGTTTTTAAACATTCTATTTCTGTTTTATTTTTTATTTTATTTTTTTATTTTTACTTTTTAATGTGTGTGCATGTATTGCCTGCATGTAGGTAAGTGCACCCATGTTGTGCAATGCCCACGGAGGACAGACAAGGTTGTCGGATCCCCTGGAACTGGAGTTACAGACAGTTGTTAGCTGCCATGTGGGTGCTGGGATTCGAACCTGGGTCTTTTGCAAGAACATTCAGTGTTCTTAACCACTGAGCCATCTCTCCAGCTCCACATTCAATTTCTTTTATACGATTAAACTTTCCCTAGTTTTGTGGCTAGTTCTCTTTGCCTCATATATATTTCAGAGAGTTTTCTAGACATTTTCAATTATGAAGCTGGCATTAGATTTTTCAACTTTAAGTGGTCTCACATCTATTTTCAAAAATATTATAAACAGTTTCAATACTTCAAACATCCTTAGAAAATCCTTATATTTCACAAAATATCACTAGTAATTTGAAGTTATCAAACCTTTAGAAGTTCACAGTTACCATATATTTTATCAACCAAAACAGCAATTTTATTGTCCATAAAGTCTCTGTTAAAGAATTATTTTTATTTATTTATTTGTGTGTGCGCACATGCAGTGAGGGAAGTACCCACAGAGGCCAGAGGAGGGTCATCGGATCCCCTGAAGGTGGAGTTGCAGGAGGTTGTCAGCCATGCTGGAGATACGTGCTCTAAACTGCTCAGCCATCTTTCCAGACTCTATTCATAGTCCTTAAGAAAATGATGTTTAAGGAAGTATACCAAACAGCCCCCAAATCACTCTCTAAGGAATTCTTTTCTTTATACCTGCCATGGTAAGGAATTGTGCCCTATGTCCTGCTTTTATGTCCCAACATCTTCAGAGCAAAGCTGCATGTATAACCTACTGATAATCTTCATTAGCTGTACCAACAATTATAACTTGCTATAAAACCAAAATTCTTGAAAAAAAAACCCCAAAGCTCCATTAATTAGTAGGCAGAATTCAGATAAGCAATAGGATGTTTGAGTTTTATTAAGAGCCTTGTTTTATTTCTATATACATAACTGAAAACACTTGGATCCTCTCAGGCACACTCTGGATTTTCATGTCAGAAATAGCTGCAATTATTACAATATCTTCAATAAGTGTTAAAGGGAAGTATAATGCAAATTCAGTGGATTGCACTATGGCTCTAAAACCTTTCTAATATTTAAGTAACTATCATTTTTCTCCATGTCAAAGTCAGGTATTCCAACTACAACACAAATAGACAGACATCAAAAATAGCTCCAGGTCACTTGACTTTTATGGAAGGGATTCCTCCTGACCTGGGATGGCAACAGTAACTGTTTACTGCACTTTACACAGCCTCAGGGGTTCCTAACATACTGTACTGGCATCTTGTTATCAGGGAATCCCTTGTACTCAGCAGAGAGATGGAAACAAATCTGCATTCTCAAACATGGTTTATGACTCCACAGTCTTGCAATGCAGCTCCTCAGCCATGAGAATTTAGTTCTTTTCCTAGTTTTTCTTGCATAGAATGTTTTCATGTTGTTATATCACATTTATACAATATACTTAACAAATGAATTTGGGCAAAAAATATCTTCAACATGTCCTATAACATTTAGCTGTACACACACACACACACACACACACACACACACACACTATATATATATAAAATATCCAAACCATTATCACTGTAAACTAAGTAGGTACTTACAATTATAGGATTACAGAATTACTAATACTACTTCATTTAATTCAATTCACACATATCCCAATTTATTTTATATGCTTATATTTAAATTATTTTAATTGTAATTAGGTGCACAATGAAATTAGTCATTGTTCAGAACTAAGGAAGGAAGCAAAAGAGAAAACCAACTGGGTACCAGTGATTTAAAACTCATTAGGTAAATGTATTTATCATTCATTTACTATGAAGAGGTTTTCTAAAAGAAATTTGCTGTTTATTTTTAGTCTGCTAGTTGTATATCCTAGTCCACTTTGTTAAGCAAACTGACATGCCTGCATGAAGGTGTCTGCTGATGTGGAACAACAGAGGTTAATGATGAGAGGCACAAGCGGAGAAGAGAAATAAGTCTTATGCTAGAGAAAAAGTGCTAAAGGAGACGGGCTTTCAAAAGCATTTAAAGAAAAGTATCACCTACCAGTTCTACTCGTCCGAAACCTCCAACTCCAAGGGTGTCAATGATGTTGAAATCAGACAGCTTCAGGTTGGCGAAGAAAGCAGCTTCAGCTTCATATCTGGATTTTTTGATGTGAAAAAATGGAAATTTCTTAGAGGTGCAAACACGAGTACCTCGCACGACCGCACTGGCATGGCATGATTGTGGGACAGGCCGTACTCGGTTCAATTCCATTTTGCATTTAGAGTCTGTGTTTTCTTACACTCAGAACTTTTTGGTCCCAGTTGTACAGAATAACATAGATTTGCACTTGTTTTTCGAAGTAAAATAAAATACAGATATTCCACAGCTTGCCAGTCAACTGACTGATAAGTTCAGTTACCAAATCAGTAACATCTTGGTGTTTTTCTACTAGTCCTGCGAGTGGTGATTACTTGAGTTCTCTTTTGTTTTTTATTTGGATTTTTGGGGGCTTGCTTGTCTTTGTTTTTGCTGTTTAGATTTTGGATAGCAGTTTCTCATTAGTTTTTCTTACCCAGAGATTGGCAGTACCTTCTATCACTATTTATTAAAACTGGCAGGATCCAGAGACAAGTGGGGGCTCTCTGGAGTGAAATCACAGCCAGGTTTTAGGAAAACAGATCCGTAAAGCTGAAGATTTAGATGCCAGTGTCTAAGATGGATGATCTCAGGAACATAGTCACATCCCTACAAAGGGACTTTCCTGTACTTTTATTTACCAACTGTCTTTCAGCTAGCAATTCCAGTGTCTGGGAGTTTGTGAGTTTCTTATCAGTGGTGAGACGCATGAACTCATGTCCAGGTCTAACTGCACACATGCAAATCTGACAGAGGCAAGTGGCCAAAATAGGCTTCTACCCAATGAAAAGACGGAATAGGAGCTGCCTAAAATATCTCCTTGTTAAAGGCCTTGCTATTTTTAGAAAGGGCAGGAAGGCATAAAGATGAAGATGATCAGCCCACTGACTACAGCCAGGTCAGGGAGCAATCCAGCTGTCTCAAATTAAACTTTTGAAATCGCTACATATGACCCTTGACCTTCAGGCTAATGACTTGATTCAGTACTACACTATCCACAGGCACGATGAATACACTTGAGGAAATGGTATGAGCACATCTTGTGCAATGATCTTTTTAAACACAGTCATCCGCAGACATCTTTGGGGTTAAGATGTATGATATTTTTAGTTATGCCATTATAATCAACCATACCTTTAAACTTTGTATTTGCAAAACACTTGAAATAGGGTCTCATACAAGCTTTCAACTCTCTTCAATCTACAAATAGAGTTATACTTTTTCAGTAACTCAATTGCTGATAGACAACTCAGAATGTAGAATAAAAAACAAAAACACAACAGTTTTTTCTTTGTTTACTTATGTGAAATCAACTACTTTAAATGGAACTTTATAAACAAAACTTGTGGATCAAATGGTATTTGCACATTCCTCTCATCTGCACAATCTCAAGGTCAACAGGGCACCTTATTAGAATCCAACACAGGCAGCAAATGTGCATTTCTAGCATTCCAACTGCTCTCTGCTTTTAGAAAATTAAGACTCCATCCCATTTAATGAACCAGTGGCAGAGCTGACTCCAACAGGTGTTTAAAAAGGACATCTGTTGAGATCAGACCCCATGTGGGTTTATATGTGGTCAAGCATTTCCTGGTGACCTAGATTAAATATATCTCTAATACATCTCTAATAACATTGCTCTGTTTTTTTGTTTTTGAAAAGAAAATATTTTTCATATAGAGCTTCTAAGACATTTCTGAGCTTTAATCAATGTGTTTTATCAGTCTCATTAAACAGGCCTGAAAGGAAGGACTTAAATAAACAAAATGGCTGGTTCTGTTTACTCCTCTAGCTGTTGAAATTTTAAGACCAATTACCAATCAATTAACTGATATCCTTTATTTCCTTTTAAAGAAATATTTTATTTACTATTTCTATTTTATGTGTCTGAGTGTATTACCTGCATGTGTGTAACTGCACCTGTGTTGTGCAATAGAGTCAGAAGAGGGCATTGGATCCCCTGGAACTGGAGTTACGGACGGCTGCCGGCCTCCATGTGGGTGCTGGGAATCGAACCCAGGTTTCCTGCAAGAGCAGCCAGTGCTCTTAAACACTGAACCACTTCTCCAGTCCCCCTTTGTTTCCTTTTGGGCTTTTGTTTTGTTTTGTTCGTTTTCTGAGACAAGGTCTTTCTATGTAGCCCAGTCTGGCCTCAAACCCATTCTCCTGCTTCAGTTTCTCAAACCTTGGGATTACAGCTATGCACCACCACGTCAGGATAATTGATTACTGTTATTAATTAAAATAACATGATTCAGAATTTTATGTATAAAGGGATACTCTTAAGACTATTAAAAGATCTTGTCAATATTTATGCAATTATATACATTCACAATGAGAATAATTTTGAATAATGATGTGTTTGTTCTGTGTACAAATCTCAGGTACAGATCTGGCACGCTTTTTCAGATTATTGCATTACTCATTTATGTATGTTTCATTTGTGGTGTTATTACTTAGACCATTCATTTTAACCTTGGCATTGTTGTATTTGGTTCTTATGAAATTAGGCTGAAAGTACACTAAAGTGAGTGGTGAATCCCAGCTTTTGCAAGAATCAGGGCTACTGAGCTCTTCTGCAAACACTTAGAGTCTCACTACAGACCAGGTGGAAAAGTAATTTCTAGTGATGATACCCCAAAATCTGCATTTAAAAAATCCTTAGAATTCTGCTGCATAGCAAGAGCTGAGACCCACAGATTCAAACCTCCTGAAACATAAGTTACAAGAAAGGGGTATGTGACCACCTGGTAAGCCAGAGGTGGTTGAACCTCTGTATTTTGGGAACCCTGTA